GGTGGGTGAGAGGTGGTGAGGGAGAGGTGTAAGGGGAAAAGGGGGAGGGGGAAATGGGAGAAACATATGTGGGAATTAAGGAGAGAGAGAGAGAGAGAGAGAGAGAGAGAGAGAGAGAGAGAGAGAGAGAGAGAGAGAGAGAGAGAGAGAGAGAGGACACACACACACACATACACACACACACACACACACACACACACACACACACACATATATATATATATATGCAAAAATAACAGAGAACGCGCAGCAGCCTCGGCCGAGCGGCGCAGGCGAGAGAGGAAGTGCTGAGGTTATCACATCACGCCTTAGGTAATTCGCTCGTGCTCAATTAACGACCTCGTTAGCCTTGATAATTGCCCCTGGACGCTTAATGACACTTTACGACATCCTTAATCACTTGGGTTTATTGGGCATGCTAAGTACATTATTCCATATCTCTAGATAAAGGCATGAGGAATGAAAGGGAGAGATAGGGAGAGAGAGAGAGAGAGAGAGAGAGAGAGAGAGAGAGAGAGAGAGAGAGAGAGAGAGAGAGAGAGAGAGAGAGAGAGAGAGAGAGAGAGAAGGCGAAGACGAAGCAGAATGATGAGTATACCGAGAGAGTCTGAAATGGAGAGAAAAAACAAACAAAAAAAACACACCATCGAAAAACGAAAGCAACAACAACCTCCTCATAACAGCGACGCCACCGAGAACAAGCAAGCAAGCAAATAAACAAACCAAAAGGCCCCAGACCCGCGTATTTCCACCCAAAAAGGGGACCGAAGGTGAACATAGCAGTACTCGGCCAGGCAGACAAAAGCACACCCAAACACGGTCGAAGCGACGAGTCATGGAGCACGACTGATGGGGGGGGGGGAAGGAGGAAGGGAGGGAGGGAGGAAAGGACGGGAGGGAGGGAGGGAGGAAAGGACGGGAGGGAGGAAGGGAGGGAAGGACGGGAGGGAGGGAGGGAGGGAGGGAAGGACCAGAGGGAGGGAGGGAGGGAAGGACCAGAGGGAGGGAGGGAGGGAGGGAGGGAAGGACCAGAGGGACGGAGGGAGGGAGGGAGGGAGGGAAGGACCAGAGGGACGGAGGGAGGGAAGGACCAGAGGGACGGAGGGAGGGAGGGAGGGAGGAAGGACCAGAGGGAAGGACGGGGGGAGGGAGGGATCAGAGAGAAGGACGGAAGGGGGAAAGGGAGAAGGAGAAGGGGAGTGAAGGGGAAGGGGAGGGAGGAGGAGGAGAGAGAAGGAGAAGAGGAGTGAGAGAGAAGAGGTGGGGGGGAGGCAGGGAAGGAGGGACTGGAGGAAGGGAGGGAAGGAAGCGGAGTAAGAAAAGGAAAGGAGAACCGGATAGAAACGGAAAGGGAGGGAAGGAGGAACCTGAGGAAGAGGGAGAGACAAGGAGGGAAGAAGGGAGGGAGGGGAGAAATGGGATGACCGGGGGCATAAAGGGAATAAAGGAGGAAGAGAACGACTAGAAGGAAAGAGGGAAGTAAGGTCTGGAAGGAGGGAGGGACGGAAGGACCGGAGGAAGAGGAAGGTGGGGTGAAGGGGAGAGGGAGGGAGGGAGGGAGGGAGGGAGGCGCCAAGCGTTCGTCGAATACTTAGGAGTCCCGAGCGATTCCCAGCAGGCAATGTCGTGCCGCAGGAGAACCAGACAGTCCCCTCACGCCCTCTCGAGTATGTGTGATTTGCTGGGAGGGAGTTATCTCAGATGTCTCCGGGATTTGGTGTCTCGGATCGGGATGCAGGGATTGCTTTCTTGGTGGAGACGGAGAGGGGGGAGGGCGGGGGGGAAGGAGAGGGGAGGGAGGAAGAGGGGGAAGAGGGAGAAAGAAGAGGGAGGGAGGGTGGAGAAGGAAGGAGGGTGGAGAAGGAAAGGAGGGTGGAGAAGGGAGGGGGGAGAGTAGGAGAGAGAGAGAGTTTAGGAGAGAGAGAGAGAGAGGGAGAAGAGAGAGAGAGAGAGAGAGAGGGAGAGAGAGAGAGGAGAGAGAGAGAAGAGATGAGAGAGAGAGGAGAGGAGAAAGGAGAGAGAGAGAGAGAGAGAGAGAGAGAGAGAGAGAGAGAGAGAGAAGAGAGACTGAGAGAGAGAGAAGAGCCAGACAGAGAGAGAAGAGAGAGAGAGGGAGAGAGAGGGAGAGAGGAGAGAGAGAAAGAGAAAGAGAGGGAGAAAGAGAAAGATAAAGAGAGGGAGAGAGAGAAAGAGAAAGAGGGAGAGAGAGAGAGAGAGAGAGAGAGAGAGAGAGAGAGAGAGAGAGAGAGAGAGAGAGAGCGGGCGAGAGAGAGAGCGGGAGAGAGAGAGAAAGAGAGAGAGAGAGAGAGAGATGGAGAGAGAGAGAAAGAAAGAAAGATGGAGAAAAATATAACAAAAAAAATAATTCCGTAAAAAGGTACATATTACGATCTATTCTTATAGCAACCAATTGACACAAGTATATCTTTAAAATACATTATTCCATACTGTCTGATGTATTTATTAGAAAAATGTTAATCGTTTTCTCACAACTAGTATTTAGCGGTTCATATTTTTAGTTTTCTAGTGGTGTGGTACATTATTTGTATTATTGTTCGTTCATCAGTTATTGTGTTATTACTTTTTACTCGCATTATCAGATTCATTATCTATCACTTGCATTTTAAGTATTATTTTCCATTGCTTATCATTATTTTAATCTATTATTGCCTTCATTGCTGTCATTATCTTCTCTTGTCATTAATATTCATTTTTTTTGGTATCAATACTATGAGATATTTTATTTCTTGCTCTCATTTTCTCATTGTTTTTATGACGGTTATTATTATCCGTCCCCTGTAGTTCCCTGTTACTTCTTTCTTACGTTACTAATATGACTACGGATCGTATCAATTTTAACTGTTTTATTCCTCGTTATTTGGGTTATTACCATGATTACTTATCCATTGTTACCAGGCGAGAGGAGAGTTCGAGAGTACCCACACCTTCCGTCGTCACGTTATAACTGTTTCGGGGTCATTTCGTCACTCCGCGGTCAGTGTAGCGGAGAGGAATCATTTCTGAACTTTTCTGAAGAGAGAGAGGATCATTTGTGACGTTTTCTGAAGTTTTCTGAAAAAAAAGGTGAAAATTTGTTGAATAGTTTTGTTTTTTTTTCTGGAAAAGAGGTGAGCATTTGTGAGCATTTTTGTGAAAAGGAAAAAGGAAAATTTGTGACCACGTTTCTGGAAAAAAGAGGTGAGCATTTGTGAAGTTTTATGGAAAAAATGAAAATTTGTGAACACTTTCCTGAAAAAAAACAGATGTGATAGACATTTGTGAACTTTATTGAAAAAAAAGGGATGAACATCTGTGAACTCTTCTGAAAAAAAGGGCGAAAGCTTGCAAACACTTTTCTGAAATTATATTAGATAAACATTTCTAAATATATTTAGAGATCTTGAAAGTTTTTTATTTCTTTTTATTGAAGATCAGGATATTCATATTTTTTCACATCCTAACATTTTTAAAATTCTGAAAAAAAACACCAGTCGAAACATATTGTGAAATGGGATCTTTTTCTCGAACATTCGCACTGTCTTCCCCCGAACGCATTTGTCTGTCTCATCCCTCAGTCGTTGTCTCTCGCGTGCCACTCATCATTACGGCGCGAGGGGGGAGGAGGAGGAGGAGGAGGAGGAGAGGGAGGAGGAGGAGGAGGAGAGGGAGGGGAGGAGGAGAAGGGAGGAGGAGGAGGAGGTGAGGGAGAGGGAGGAGGAGGAGGAGGTGGGGGGAGGAGGAGGAGAGGAGGAGGAGAAGGAGGAGGAGGAGGTGAGGGAGGAGGAGGAGGGAAGAAGGAGGAGAGGAGGAGAGGGAGCAGGAGGAGAGAGGAGGAGGAGGAGGAGAGGGAGGAGGAGGAAGAGGAAGAAGAAGAAGAAGAAGAAGAAGAAAAAGAAGAAGAAGAAGACACTTGCTCTTGACGAATAGTGAGCTCTTACATGCTGGCCAAAAAACGTTTGCGCATTTTGAGAATGTATAATTTTGTTTCGTTCGGTGTTTTGGCTTATGGTTTCCTGATTTGCTTTTAAATGTGTGTTTTTCTTAAGGGATGTGTCTGTGAGGAAAATGGCCGTTATATTAATGGTAAAAAAATAATGATAGTGATTATTATAACTAATGATAAACCTAATGTTCTTGCCTTCATTTTCTTCACATTCATTCAATATACTATTATTAGTTGTCTTTTTAAACATCACGTTGATAAAAAAAAAAAAAAAACATTTATATATCGAATCCTTTTGAAATATATATTGTACGAAAATGGGAGAGTAGAGGCACCCTGATGAAAATCTTTCTATACTACAGTGATAGATTTTTTTCTTTTTTTCTTTTTTTTTCATTCACATCCGAATCACCATTTTGCAACTTCCTCCAGATGAGAGCCACGTTAGAGCCACCATTATGGAAATGATTCAGAATCAGGACCAATTATAATCGTCATATTAGAGTCACCACACTCTAAATCCCCCCCCCCCCCCCAGATTAGAGTCACCCGTCATGGAAACCCCTCCCCCGTAGAGTCGCATGATAGATACTAGAATCCCTCGCGAGTAGACCTCCCATGAGGGAAATCCCATGAGAGAAATGCCTCGCCAGACGACCACATGGACGGCGAGTAAGTGCGCGAGTGTGTTATCCGTCACGTAAAGGAGCTAACGGGGCTGTATCGCGCCAACAAAAAAC